TGCTGGAGCCGCTCTTCTTAATGCTCTGTTCCAGCCAGAGGCCTCGGTGAGTGGCACAGCCTGTGCCCTCTGCCACGCGCGGGGCCACACGCTCCAAACATCCCTCTGCAGCTCAGCGAGAGGAAATGGAGAAGCCCAAGCACGCAGGGAAAGTGGTCAGGCGAGGTGAGTAAGCAGCCACCTAAAGGGCACGCGGAGGAGGAACATGTGGTGGAGGCATCTTCCCTCTTTGAGAGGTGCAGCAGGCGGCCCGGATGCGAGGAGCTCCCCGCCAGCGCTCTGCTTCGGCCTCAGGCCGAGGAGGAGGAGCAGAGGCGGCTGCCTGGCCGTGCTGCAGCCACATGAGCCCGGTGCAAGCAGCCGCTTCTACAAAACAGGGCACGTGGGGGACCTCATGCGTGGCTCGTCACCAGAGTGACGAGCACGTGGACGTTCAGGGCGCGTTTTCACGCGCTCAGATAACACACAGGGCTGCTGTGCAGCTCAGAAAGGGAACCAGGTCGCCAGCACCCCCAGCACTGTTTTGCATGAACCAGTTTCACCGCGTAGTTTCCACCACCGCAAGCAAACCCCATCTCCAAGCAGCCATTTCACGCACAGGTTGCACATACCTTTTTAAGAGGAACCGTACTTCTGAACCAGTTATAGTCAGGAGAGACTTTAATCTCTCCCATGATGTTTAGAAAAAGCTCCGTTGAGGTCAGCCTGAAACAGAGACACACAATGTTTGAGACCAGGACGGCAGCACAAAGGCCGCGCTGTGCGCGGGGTCAGCGCGCTCTTATCGACGATTATTCGGCCTCCACCTCGTGCCCAGTTTGCTTATCCTTAGTTTTCATCACAAGCCACTTAATTATCCTCCCAAGAGGGAGTCACCTGATGGCCTTAGTGTACCAGTCCTATTAGGAAGTGGCAGGGCCTTTGTAAGAGGATTCCTGCACAATAGCTGCTGGAAAAGACAATTGCATCGCAGGATACAGCTGGCAGAAAAAAAAAGAAGAGCTATTTAGGCTGTGTCTTTAATTTCAAAAATGTCTCCAAATTTGTAACTGGTAGGTGTTGATATGAGTCACTCAGCAAACAATAGGTCTATGTTATTGCACAAACCTACTTTCCAAGTATCCAAAATGTGGTTTCCAGGCTCAGGATAAGTGACCCAAAGGAGCCCCAAAAACGAGTGGGAATATGAGCCAGTCTGAGGTTTTCTTCACAGAAGAATTCCCAAGTTTTTAATCTACTAATGCAAAAACTGACTCTTGTGAGGAATCACAGCTCAGAAGAGATCTTTGAAGCATACCAATTAATACTGATTACCAATTAAAACTGATTTACTCTGAAATACACGCTCAAGTCAATTCCCTTATGCACATGAGTATACATAATGAAAGTTTGCTACAATATTTTTTCATTTGCAATAAACAAATTTAAAAAAATTAAATCCAGAAGGCCCGTTCAAGACCAAGAGACTGTTAACTTCCATTATATAACAGATACTATCAAGTAGTTCTGAAGTTTGCGTGCTTGATAGCTTTACCCTGAAAGTTAATCACCTCGGGGGATTATTTTCATCTATTCGTACATGGTCCTGTGCATAAGAAAACAAAAGCAACTTTGCTCTTGTTATTTAGCAGTTGCCAATTACAAATCAATAGTTTCTTGTTTCTTACTTCTGGGAAAACAAGACTTCAGCATATTCCAAACCATTTCTCCATGCAAAAAGAAAAGCTGCCAGCATGCGGGCTTCATCCGCTTACTTGGTTACAACTGGATTCATGGATATTTATGATTTCCCTCTCTCTGGGGCTCCAACTTTCAGTCTGAATTTACTGTTTCCCAAGTATGCGAAAAATGAATTTGATAAAGGAAGGTAATTCTAAACCACGCACATCAGACACTGCTGGAATGAGGAGGACAGCTGGGCATCAGGGAATGAAAACAGCCGTTCAGGCTGTTAATTCCTGCCAACAACCATGCATTAGTTCTCATAAGACTTTCAGTAAACCATGAGGCAAAAGAACAAGGGCAGAAGTAAATTACAGTGAATGCCTTAATGTTTTTGCTGCAAATATTATAGCATAGCAAGGTCAAGAAACACGAGTCACGAGCACTGCATGAGGCACCCCGTGAAGGCGCACGAGCCACAGAAAGGCCTGATGCTCCCAGCTCTGTTGTGACGGGAGCAGGAGCCCGTGTGACATCTCCTTTTCTGCCGTCTCATGCCTTTGGCACCGTTAAGCTAATTGGGTGACTGACACTTATCTTTGCCTCCCTACTCACCCGCTCCTGCTCTGGGGAAGGGAGCAGCCCCCAGCAGGGACTGCAGCCATTTGCCCCAGCTCCTTTCTCGTAAGGGTGCATCAGGGGAAGCAGAACTGCTCCCTTTTAAAGCAAGGATAAACTATTTTCTGAAATTCTATGAAAAATAGGGTTTTTTTATTTTTATTTTTTTTTGCTTACACCAATGTCCTGTCACCGAAATCATTTTCCTGGATACAGAAAAATGACACACACACACACAGTTATCTGTGTCAGCGAGGACAACGTCAGAAAAATAGGGATTTTTTTTTTTGCTTACGCCAATGTCCTGTCACTGAAATCATTTTCCTGGACACAGAAACATGACACACATACACACACACACACACACAGAGTTATCTGTGTCAGCGAGGACAACGTCCTTCCAGCTATAGAAAATGAAACCATTAAGTCGCACCAGGAAATCCACCAAAGACAGCTCAGGTCACAAATACGGATC